ATAGCTCCAGCAACTGAAAGCTGACTGAAACAATGTTCGCCTTTGATGCAGGCCTAACTTCCACTGTTGTGTATTCCAGACAAGTTGGGGGTCCAGGTCTGTGCTGAGTCAGTGTGCTCGGGGCTGTTCTGTGCTCTGTGCTATTCTGGGGATCTTGCTACTCAGAGACAGATTATGCCTATCTGAAGCAGCCACCAGGCTGTTGGTGGAGTGAGCAGCACTCTTTGGGAAGGAAACGTGCAACTGCCCTAGTTTTCCTTGCTGTTGAGAAGCTAGAGTGTGGAACCTGGCCAGTCCATCAGCCTTTCTGAGCTCATACACAAGACAGGGATCATCTCGATTCCCTTCAGGTTAATGCAGGGAATAAAGAAGGACAAGAGCAATTAAACAGGACTGGCAGGAAGGCCTGGGACATATCAGCCTCATTATAGTTATCATTCAGTATAATTCCTTCCTCTGAGTCTGAGGCTGGGCACTGGCTTCTCATGTGCCTACAGGTGAGACACACCCCAGAAAGCAGCAGATTCTGCCCATCCACTGCTGCTTCTGATGTAAAGAGGCTGGTGCTTGGATTGAATACCTTCGAGCCTCCATCTTTGAGTGACTGGGGAGACAGACATACTCAGACCTGGCTAGCAGGGTTTTTGAGTGTACCTGACTGAGGATCATCTTGGTTCCTGTAGGAACCATGGAGGCCTCAGCCTTACAGTCCCAAATGGGTCCAGGTCAGACACAGCTCTCTACAGTGGCAAAGGGACATAGAACAGTTCTCACCTAATACAGACACCTCTTGACCACCCTCAAACATTTTTACGGATTCTGCTTCCATTAAGTAACTCGAAGGGAGCTGGGTATGGTGGTACATGGCTGTAACCCCAGCACTGCATTCAGGAGGATCAGGAGTTCAAGGTTAGCCTTGGCTACACAGCTGGTCTTGTGAAGGCTAGTCTGGCAGGGTCCTTTGTCGCAGGATGCTAGCACACAAAAGTATCCAAGCCCATCCTGCCCTCACCCCTTTCTTTGGTTCTTGGGGAGTAAGATGAGGGATAATAAAGGTTGTCTTTCATTCAGAGAAGCAGAAGGCAAGGTCGGGTTTCAAATTCCAAAGATCAAGGGAGCCTGGGAGAGTCTGTAGGGGGACTTGGTGCTGAGTATGATTGGCATCACTGGAGTTCTAGGGGTGTGAGTTGGGGGTAGGCGGGCTGACCTCACCAGGCCTTGTGAGCAGGGGTTGGGGTTTTAGACTTTGTCTATGAGCAATGAGGAGCCTTGGAAGATTTAACAGAGAGATGTAATACAGCACTGTGGTCTTCAAACTTCCCTTTGTTATTACATGGGGAAATGCCTGAGGAGAGGCCTGCAGACAGGGAGGCCAGGCACTTACATAGCCAGGACATGTAGATGACCTCGACAGTGGCAGCTTCAGAGTGGAGGGAAGTGTGGCCTGTTAGGGATTAGTCAGGGATGGACACAGTCATGCTTCCTGCTTCCACCTTTGCCCCTTACAGTAGTCTCCCCACTACAGTCAGAGCCATCCTGGTTAAACCCTAAGTCCAGATTATGCCAGCTCTCTGGCTTCCAGTCTCAGGATACAAGCCAAAATTTTTGCCAAAGTCTACAAGATCGCCACAGTTATCCTATCCACCCCCACATGGCTCTGATCTTCCTCCCTGCTATTCAGCCACCTGAATCACACCTCTCCAGACACCCCTCACTGCTCTTAGAACCTGGGAGCACAGCTTCTCCCTCTACTCCATTGGAGGCCTTCGTGCTTTCTGATCCTTCTGCCTGACCTCAGCTAGCCAACAGGTGCTCAGCACCTCGTCCCCTGCTCATGTCACCTGCTCTGTGAGGGCTTTCCAGACCACTCATACTAGGCTAACTATATACTTTTCCATTGAGTATACCCATTCCCTCCATGCTACTGTTTACAGTTTGTGCTATTGTGTGGGGGGAAAAGGCTCTCACAAAGCCCAGGTTGGCCTAGAACTTGCTACATAGTCAAGGAGGGTCTTGAGCTTCTGATTCTTCTGCCGCTACCTCCCCAGTTCTGGAATTGCAAAGCTTATAGGAACTGTAGTGAAGATGAAGACAGCAGAGGGAAGAGGATGTATGTGTGTGCGTTCGTATGAATGTAAAAGCACACATGCAAATGCAAGCGTTGATGCTGACCCCAGAGCTCCCACACCCTCTGGGATCTAGGCAGGACAGAGACAGCTCTAGGCTGGGTTCAAGGAGAAACAGGTAGTGCAGGAGGCACGAGAATAAAAGGAATGTGGTGTACTCCATGGGGATAGAACTTCCAACTTCCTGGGGGGTGGGAAGGGGGTCTTTGGAGGAAAGACCCCTCTGCCAGCTCTCTCTCTAGATCCAGGGAGCTCCTCTTTCATGGTTCAGATGTTTGTTTTTCCAGAGCACAAAACACCTAGTCACTGACTACTGGAAATGAACAAGAACACCTCTAACATGTTTGTAAAGAAGAACAAGGTGGAAAGATTAACTGTTAAACTCTAACAGAGTGATAATTAAAGCCACGTGGTGTCACAGGACCAGCAAAAAGATCAGAGGAATCAAATCCAGCTGCAAGGTTTCTGATCTCACAGAACCGGTTAGAGACCTTGCCTCAGAAATAAGATTGGAAAGCAATAGAGGAAGACACCCAATATATCAGCCTCTAGTCTACACACACACACACACACACACATACACACACACACACACACACACACACACACACACACACACAGTGGGGTATGGAAAAATCCTACCAATTAACCAATTATTGATAAGAAGTTAAATAAACCCAGACAAAAAGTATAGGGTAATATCTATGAGAATTACTCTTTTTTTTGTTGTTGTTGGTGTTTTTTTTTTTTTCTTTTCTTGAGACAGGGTTTCTCCATGTAGCTTTGGAGCCTATTCTGGCACTCACTCTGTAGATCAGGCTGGCCTCGAACTCACAGAGATTCACCTGCTTCTGCCTCCCAAGTGCTGGGATTAAAGGCATGTGCCACCAATGCCCGGCTGAGAATTACTCTTAGGGAGTGAGGGGAGGGACACTCTGTTTCTGCTGTTACTTCAGCCCTGGACATGCAACAAGCTTACAGTAAATGACAGCCGAATGACAGAAGTCATCACAGCAAGGGAAAAGTAAAACTCCTGTGTGCTGCTCTTTATTTACCGTATAAACCCATGTGAAAACTGTGGGAGAGAGTGAGGAAGGGGGTCCTATTGCACACAGGTGGTTAGAATGTTAACTGACAACAGCCTTCTGTTGCCTGTGGTAGTGCAGAATATGAAGCACAAATGGGCATCATTTGGGCTCGTTAAACAAATAACCATGGTAGTTTTTCACTCAGAGCAAGCAGGGAAGTGTGGTTACGGGTTTAGGACAGGACAGTTGTGGGCTTGGAATGCACATCATATTGGTGAATTGGTGTGCTGTTTAAGTTCATTGAGAAGCTGACTCTGGAATCAGGGCTGCTCTCCTCTCCACCATTTCTCTCAATGTGGCTCTCCCTCCTTCTTTTCATGTGCAGTGGTGTTTTGGGCTGCATGTATGTCTGTGTGAGGATGTCAGATCCACTGGACCTAGAGTTACAGAGAGTTGTGAGCTGCCATGTGGGTGCTGGGAATTGAACCCGAGTCCTCTGGAAGGGTAGCCAGTGCTGTCACCTGCTGAACCATCTCTCCACCCCCCTCAAAGTACCTTTTAAGGCCCTTTTCTGTGGGTGGACTGCTCCTCTAGCTCTGACAGGGAGATAAGAACAGCACAACAGCTCAGGAGTACGAACACCGTGACTTTAAGAACAGCTGGAAGAGCATCTCCACCAGGCATTATACCCATGCTATAAAACCCACCGGGTACTTATCCCATGATATGGAAGCCCCTCCCGAGGAGGAGCTGAAGCTCAGCTACAGAAAGTTCATGCAGAAACTTCAGCTAATGCCTCAGCTTCCCCAGTCACCTTCTGTTGGATGTTGTGGCTGTCGGTTGGATGATGTCATCTCTATCTGTTGCTGTTTGTATTTTCATTTGGAACTTCCCCCGAGGGAACTCTCCTTATTAGAAACTCCAGCTGCCTGCCCTAAAGGGGCTTCCTTCCCCCAGTCGATTCTTGCTGGGAATTCTAAGTGCTGTTGGTTCTGTTCTGCTTCTAACCATCCATCCATCTGCCATTTATTCTTTTACTTTACCTTACTGTATGTTTAATGAACTCACACATTCAAAACCGAAAATATGGCCCCAGTAGATCATTCTCCAGACTGTACAAAAGCTACTGATAGTCACTCATCAACTTGTAACTTAAAAGTGAGAGTCTGAATAAGTTTATGTAACCAAAAGGCTCAAGGCAGACCCCACTTTGAGTGAACTGGGGGACATCCGAGGAGTATAATATTTCTATTGATGTTGAAGAAAGAACCAAGCATTTTAGAGGGAAAGGAGGTGTTCTTTCCCTGGCATGTGTTCTTTCTAAAAGGCTGCCTTTTGTCTCATTATGAAAAAAACCAAAACAAAAATCAAGCATGCCCCCTAGTGGGAAGATGAGGAAAGACGAGGGGGAAAATGGTGAGTTTGTGAGGACAGAAAGGATTGAAGAACCTGGGAAGAAAGAGAACCAGGAAGTGGGTACCACCCATGGAGGTCACTAGGGGCCACTTCTGACCACTCATGCAGACAACAGGCACACCAGGGCCCTCGTAGCCCACGCTTATCTTTGAACATTTCCTTACTCTGTGGAGACTCTTGCCTTCCTCATTCATCTCTTGGTTCTCAGCTATCATCTTTCCTTGTTTCACTGAAACAACAGACCTCAGTATTAATGAAACCATTGCCATGACTTAAGTCTGCCATCCAGCCTAGGCTTCGTGAACAACATGAGACATGTCTGGCTCACCACTGAACCTAGTGTCTCGAACAGGCCTGGCACCTGAACTCGTCTTACAGCACATTGGAGCTTTGGCCTGGACTGGAGGTTGGCAGGACAGACACCCACTGGTTCTAGGGCAAGCAGAGGGACTTTATTAGAGAGGCCAGGAGGACATATATTTACACGGGCCACTAGGGGACATTAAATGAAGCAGGGGAGAGCAAGATTTTCCAGCTCAGACGAGTTCCACCTTGGCATTGGGGTACACAGCCACAACATCATACCCCTCTGGTGGCTTGACTCGTGCCTTGGCGTGGTTCTCACAGTACAGCCGTTCATCTAGGAAGAAGTATCCACGCTGCTTGAGATTCAGGCCACAGTCGCTACACATGAAGCACTCAGGATGGTAGAGTTTGTCCCTTGCCTTGACGATGGTTCCCCTGTTGTGGGGAAAGAGGGACAGGTGACTGATATATTCTAGGATAATGCCCCATCTAGGGCCCTGAAGAATAGAGGTGGGGTTGTGGGTGCAGGTGGGCAGGGTGGGTACTCACACAATTCCGTGGCCACAGCGCGTGCACTCTGGTAGCACCTGCAGGCCACTCAGTGGAGCACCCAGCTTGCTGGCTGCTGGCTTGAGGTTCCTGGGACCACCAGACCCAGGCCGCTCCCCTGAAATCCAGAGTGCAGGTGGTATGAATGGGGTAGGTGAGATAAGAACCCCACTACTGCAGGATGCTGCTTCTAGGGCCCAGGTCAGAGGCCTAGGGGGGAAGCACTTGGTTGGTATGAGGTAAGGGGGAGCCACGTGATGGTGGAGTTAAAATCAGAGGGTGAAGGCTTGGTGAAGGAGGCACAGACATGGTGAAGACACCAGAAAGGAGTTGGAGAGGGGAAGATGGCTGGAAGGTGTGGATCGATTGGGATTGGAGGTGTGGAGGGTGAGCTGGGGCCCTGTAGGGAGAGGGGAGGCAGGTGAGATAAGGTGTTGGGAGTCTTACCACCTTCGCTAGCCTCTAGCATGCCTTGCAAGTAGCGGAAGGATCCAGACTGCTTGGGTTCTGAGGCCACTGGCTCTGCTGGTTCCCTTAACATCTTGTAGACCTCTGAACCCAGGTCCACCCTGCAGTCCCGGTTCCGAGGAAGAACCCTGGCTGTGTCAGCACTGGGCAGGAGAGAGATGGAAGGCTAAGAATGGTAATTCCAGCCTTGGTTCTGGCAGCCTTATGCGTCAGACTATAATTATGTGAAGCTCGAAGATCAAGCCTTAGGGGCCAGAACGGGATCGACTGAGATTTGACAGATTAGGAATGATCTGGGTGTGGCTTCAAAGGCCTGGCTTCTGTCTTACCTGGGAGGTGGAGACACATGCAGAGTGCTCATCTGGGCTGGCAGGGTGATATCATTGCTGCTGCCATTGTGAGGGACTGGAAGGCGAGGTGGCTGACCATATGGAGATCCCAGGCCTGATCTGTTGTCATCCAGCCCAATCCCAGAGACTGAGGACCGCCTGCTGGTCACTGGACTGCCATCCTGTAAGAGTGAGGCCTGAGGCACTAGGAGACCCTCTGGCCTTTGACGAGTCCTGCTGACTCTCCTCTCCACTGTGCTATGCCAGTCCTCTGTGTCCACTGCTGACCACTGCTCTGACATCTCTAGGCTAGGTAACAACACTAGGAGCCTTCTGACCTCTGGCTGTTCCTATAGACCTGTACTTTCCTTCACCCTGCTATGCCAGGCCTCTATGTTGGTTAGCTACCTCTGCTCTGACATTTCCATGCTTTTGCATCCATGCAGGAAACGGGTCCTTTCCATGTATTTCCATGGCTGGAAATACAAAAAGAACCTCTTATCCTATAGTTGGAAAGGGTCCTAAGTGCTTTCATGAATGCCTCTTCAGAGGGAAGTCTGAGGTGCCAGGGTCTGCCATGAGGTCAGCTCGTCTGGGCCTGCATCCTATTCCTGCTCCCCACTTTCTTAGTTTTCCTAGGGAGCAGAAGACGAGGAGTAGAGACTGGCCCCCACTACCCCAAGAGTAGCCTAGTGTCTATGGTTGAAAGAAGTGGGTGAAGAGTGGCCTGAGCTTGCCTATAATGACAGAGCAGGGGTTCTGGGTGCCTGTGTCCATGCGGAGTCCAAAGTTGTGCTGACCTCAGCCCACAGGCACACAACTTGTCCACAGCAATGTGAACAGGGCACACATACTCTCACAAGTGCATTTAAAGACGGACATATACATGGGTAAGGACAATACACACACACACTGGCCAATCTTCCCACATACACCTTTATTCCTGTTTGCAAGGTCACACACACTGAGTGGCAGTGCTAGTCATCCTGGAGAAGGCCATGCGGCTAAGCCTGGCCTGGCAGGCTTATTTAGGGGATGAAGCTCCAGTTCAAGCGATGGGTGTGTCTCAGCCTGGGGGATGATATATATATATAGGTCTTTCTGCTCTGCAATGTGGACAGGGAGCCTGGGTGAAAAGGAAAGGGAATGTTCCCTAGCAGGAAAGAGGCCAGTTTGGGCTCAGGCTGCTCCCAGCACTGGAAGAGTCAAGCTTGCCAAGCTCTGCCTTGATTACCCTTGACTTTTGCAGGAGGGAATCATCTGGGTTGGGCACCCCGCAACACACACCAAATTTCAACAAAGGCAAGAGGCCTGCTGGCCAAGTAGGGCCCTATCAATGCTGCTGTGTTGGCAATAACAGCAGCAGCAGGACCCCTGGTCCCCAATGAAAGAAAGGACTTAGAAACCTGAGTACTCTCACACATGTGTCTGCAGGGTAGATAGGCAGGCAGGCAGGCAGGCAGGCAGGCAGGCAGACAGACAGACAGACAGACAGACAGACGATAGATAGATAGATAGAAAGAAAGAAAGCATGGGGTGGCTGGCTGTGGGCTGCATGAGACTTCAGTGGAAAAGGGGTATGGGAGTCAGGAAGCAGGGGTTGTGAGAGTGGAGGTGCCTCACTCATCCCCCATCCCCCACCCCGAGCCCAGCAGGGTGTGAGAGCTGACTACAGGGTCATCAGTGAGCTATGGCCCCTCCCATGGCCACCCATGCAGCAATTTCTCTAGATCTGAACTCAGTGGTGACCTCGTGTGTATTTGAGTGGCAGCTGTATCACCCACTGGTGCACTTTATTCACCTCTGAGCCTGTTTCTTCCCCTAACCTGGAGAACAACAAGATGGTGTCAGTATCATGGCTCCTTAGTATAGCTACTTAGGATCAAGGAGGAGGACTGACTACACCAAGCACTTGGCATGGCACGGTGTCAGGCTGGATGGCTGTCACAGGAATTCCTGCACACCCTATCCTCTCTATCTCCTCTCTTTGGCTGGCAATGTACCATACACCTTAGGCTCCCTGCCCTGAGCTACAGTCTGGTAGTGGTGTACTTGGTACAGTCTCAGAAAAGTGTCAACAAGAGGGTGACCAGACATCGGACACTCAACATGAACGGAGGTGAACACTGCACCTAGAGGAACAGGTGGCTTTCTTCGAGGCCTTCAAGAGACTCAGCTCTCAGCAGTCTGGGTGTTCAAGCCCCCTTCCGACAGAGAGCTCTCCTTAGTGCTATCCTTCTTCCACCCTGGGTGGCCCACATGCCCTCTATCTCCCATGGGCTTGAGAAAAGAGGGTCTCCTGTGGCCTTGTAGAGAATGTGGTCCTAAGGCTGCAGTTACCCTGCCCCGTTCCACTTGGGGATGCTTGCCAGGGGTGCCCTGTGTTGGCCTAGGGCTAAGTGTGGTTTCCTCCCACTCTGATGATTCTAGCTGGCCCCACCCCCACACTCAGAGGGTGGGAGTAGTGTGGGGACAATGAGCCTTGTGTCTGTGTTCCTGGGGACACAGCCCTGCAGGGGTGGGTAGGGTGGTTTCATTGCCACCCATGGAGCCTACGACCTTTTAAGTACAAAAGGGGAGCAGTAGCTGGGGGACTGCTCTGTTGTTTGTGGAAAATCACTCTCCTTATAGTAAGGGCCACCACTGCTGGCACAGTGGCCTTTGAAGGAAACTGTGAGGAAAAGAATGGGGGCAGGAGAAGCTGCTCTGCATCCTAGCTGCCAGAGCCTATAGAGAAGTCACTCTACAGGCCCAGCCTCTCAAGCCCATAGGGGAGCCACTCTGTAGCCCAGCCTTCCAACCCCAAAGGGAAGCAGCCCTTGGTCCCTGGTGACTCCCTCCACTCTCAACCAGGCATGTGCTGTCCTTTTAGCACTGGTGTCCCCAGAGGAGGTCTCTCACAGGACTTGTCTACCCTCAGCTCCCTGCTGCCTGGCTGTTTACTGCCAGTCTGTCCTCTCCTCCCTGCCCGCAGGACCTCAGAGAGAGCAAAGGACACTACTAAGATGCAGATGTTTTATAGGACAAGCTGAAGTCTGGGATGAAGGACCTAAGAGCCTCTTGGTAATGATGCTTCCCCCATCCCTACCCTCTCTCTGCTCCGATCTCTGACCTCATGGCACACTCACCCCTGGGCTTGCAAGTGCTCACTGAGTGCATGTCCTCTCCCCACACCCAATATCTAGGTCCTAAGGTCTGGGCTTGGATGCCCTTCCTCTGGGGAGCCCTTTCTAACTTTTTATTGAAACTTCTTCTCTCTGCCCTGGTCCTTTTTCCTTCCATATGAAGAAAGCAGACAAGAACAGGCCTCACATGTTGAGTGTTTTCTGCATCAAGCTACATCATAGATTAGCCCAGGATCCACCTTGTCCAGTTATGGAGCAAGCTCTAGGTATCTGAGTCTGGTCCTCTTGGCTACCCCTCTCAAGAGAACCTACAGCATCTGGGCTTCCTCACTCTCCTAAGGACAGGATGACAGCTGCAACTCCTATGTGACACAGAATGAGAACTCTTCAGCCTCAGCCAGAGAACTTATGACTAGCACAAGACAGGAGTGGCCACAGCCTAACCTCACCCAGGGCTCTAGGCTGCCACCTCCTCACCCCCATCTCTCTCTAAGCCTGTTGACTTCTTTTCGATCTGGCATCTCTGGGTATGGGAGTAAACCTTAGCTCAGTGTGTGGAAACCCTGAGCCAAGACCTAGCCCAGCCCCGGTCCATCACAGGCACCCTTGCCAAGAATGCAGGATTGCTTGGAGTTGGGACAAGCCCACTGTAGGTGCTCACCACCTCAAGAGCATGGGATATAGGCAGGCATGGCCCAGAAGAGCCTTCTGTTTCAGTATATGCCCTGGCCATCTGAGCATCAGTGTGAGAATTCACTGGTACAGGTGAAATCTGGACCATGCTTGGCTCCTCCACCCTGGTCTCACTCTGAGCCAGCTGGGTCAGGTCAACAGTGTCTGTACATACCTGGGACTCAGGGTCAATGTGGATCCTATGTGCTTGAGCCTTGTCATCAAGGGCACTGGTCCAGTTCTTGCTCTCAGGCCTGTAGCAGGAATTAGGTTGTGAGATATGTCTGCCTATCAGTCCTCCTGACTCCGTGCCTGGGAACCAGGGACAGGAGAGTTTAGGCTTAGGGCTCAAAGGAGGGAGAAGGGTGATGTCTCAGCATTTCCTCATTTACCACAATGGTGTCTACTGAAGCAAGGAGCCACAAGCTCAGCTCTGCTGCCCTCCTGAGGCAAGGCTGTGTGTTCCCTTCCCTGCCAGTGGCCTCATGCCTTTCTGATCTCATTCCTGAAGAGCTTGCAGCTCAGACACTCTTATTCCTTGCTGTGGCCTGTAGAAACTCCTCTTCAGGAGGCACTAATCACAGCAAGGCAAGCCAGGCCTCACACATGGATTAGCCAGGAGCCAGTCCATTCATCCCCTGACCTCCACAGCCTCTGGCCGGGGCCTGGGTGGCTCTCAGGGAGGTGAAATGGAGGCTGTGGGGGAGCACCTCCCCTCCTGCTGCCTCCACCCACTCAGGCAGAGTCATCACTGATGTCTGCCCAGCCCAGATGGGAAACAGGCCATTAGGAAATTCCTGCTTCACCATAGAAACCAAAAGCCAAACACCACTCAGGATGGAGAAAAACATCGTAAACCTGCCATAAGCAGGACAGGCGGGCCTAGGCCCAGCCCTGCCACTCAGTAGCTCAATGAGAAGCAAGCCAGGAGGGTGTGTGAACCCTGGGTTGGCAGGCGATGTATAGCAAGTCTGTCCAGACTGTAGAAATAATGTCCCTCAACCAAGAGGCCTCCTGAGGCTTCTCAGAGCTCAATCCTGTCTCCTTCCCCTCGGCTCAGGAATTTATTTATTTATTTGCTTGTTTGTTTGTTTTGAGATAAGGTAGCCCTGGGTACTCACTATACAGATCAGGTTAGCCTTGAATTTAAAGAAATCTACCTGCCTCTGTCTCCCCAGTGCTGGGATTAAATGTGTCTTCCACCACTCCAGCTCCATTGCTCAGTGACTTTCTGCTGTGTCCACACTGAATCTGTGCTATCAACTCTCTTCACTCTGCTCATTGTCCCCTGGAGGCCAACCCTTTCTTCACAGCCTTTGTCTCTAGCCACTCAGGGAGGTTCCAGAATGAGGCCTCTAAAATAGCTCTAATCAGCAGGGCAGTGGTGACACATACCTTTAATCCCAGCACTTAGGAGGCAGAGGCAGGTGGATCTCTGTGAGTTAGAGGCCAGCCTGATCTACAAAGTTACACAGAGAAACCCTGTCTCAAAAATAAAATAAAATAGCTCTAACCATATCTTTTTCCGACTCTGAATCCCAGTATGATGAACAAGGGATGCCTTGTTTGGCTATTTCACCTTATGTTTTTCTAAACATCTGCCCAGAACAGCACAAGCCTGGGATCTACAGATCAGATAGTACAAAGTACCCAGTACCATGAGAATAGACCAAGGTGTCAGATAAGAACAGAGGGTTTAGTCAGGCTATGCAGGTGACCCCAGCTGCAATCTTTAAACAAATGAGAAGTAAAGTTTGGGCTGTTCGAAGGTACCAAGGGACGCCAATAGAGACTATCCATGGAAGAGTGAAGTTGATAGGAGGAAGGTCCTGATCTACAAGACAGGCCCGAGACATGTGATCTGACTTGGATTATTGGATGCCTTTAGCTCCGTGTAAATTAAGTCTAGAAGGAAATAAGGCCTCTCCTGCACATCTCAGGCTGTGGTGAAGCTAGTAGGGCACCCGAGGCAGGGAAGCTGCTCTAAGAGGAGTGCCCAGTCCCTTATCAAGCCAGGTCATTAGGCTGACCCTCTGCAGAGCCTACGAAGGGGGTAGAAGATGTGTCTTGTGCCCTGGCATAAGCCCCAAGGAGTGAGCTGGACAGAGAACGGGACCGAAACCTTGTAGGTAGGCCCAATAGAAAGAGGTCTGAGGATCTAGTCTAGGTAGCCATGTTGCAAAATCCCCCAAATCTAGTATTATGTATGGATTGGAGATGGTGGAGGGAGGGAAAGCCTTGGGTTTTCATTCTGAATGAGTGAGCCTGGCACCTCCTCACCACTCAGTGTCAAGATCACAAGGCAGTCCCTGTTGTGGGACTGAAGAAGTCTGGGGTTGGGGGTAGAGTGGAGTAAAACACATGGACCATGTGCTCTCATCTGCCCATGGCCACATGGTGTTCTGAGACTGTAATTCCCAAAATGCAACAGGGAAGTGGCCTCCTGGCTCCATCCATGCCTAGATTGGAACAAATGACCAGGGAAGGAAGGAAGGAAAGAGGACCTCCACCCCGCTACCATCCCTGACATCATTCTCTCTGGGAATCTCCTGACTCAGGACCCTGCGAGCCTCCCCACAGCTCCACCATCCCTAGAGCTGCCCTCATTCAGCTAGAGAACAAAGCCAGAGGTGAGTCAGGGCCCAGGAACCCAGCCAAGCTGGGAGGCCTCATAGGCTACTTGCGGGCAAAGCTTCCCCTATCTACCTATGCCTCAGTCTGGCAGAGAGCGAGGAATGGGATATATGGGAAAGGAAACATGGGCTCGTGGAGCTCATATGAGTGCCTAAGACAGAAGGGTCTAGATGAGGCTGAGGAGTTCTCTGGGTGCCAAATGGCACACAGACTTGCAGCTAGGCTGCTCAGAGCTAAGGGAATGTCTGAGATGCCTGACCCCAACAGGGACCTGGTCACAGGCCAGGAGCAAGCAGGGAGGCTACATCATAACCCTCATCATGTTTAAAGGCTCAGAACCGATGGTTCAATCAGGCATGGGTTAACTGTGTTGTGGTTTGGGGATGGTTTCGCCCACACAGATCCTCAGGGGGTCGTGGAAAGTCCCTGTTAGCAGTGAATGTGGCAAAACTGAGTTGTGTCTCTGGATCCATGCAGGGAGGGTGGATGGAGGGATACCACTCAGCTAGAATTAAGCCAAATGCTTGTGGGAACTGATTAAAGAGCAAGGCAGAGGCTTGAACCTTCATCCCAGCACTATCTTTGGGGCACAGTTACTTGTCCCCACCCCCATCCCTTCATGGTGGGCTGCACAGCATTACATGGCCCATGGAAGGAAAGCTTGTTCCAAATCCAGATTTAACCAGAGCAGAGTCATAGGCCCTTGTGAAGACAGCTGTTGAGGCAGAACAGCTGTGGGATTGGTCAGAAAGGTTGGCAGCTACTAGAGGAGGAGAAAGAGAGAGGAAAGGAAGGAGGGAGGGGAACAGGGAGAGAGAGAGGGAAAGAGAGAGAAAGACACACACACAGAGAGAGAGAGAGAGAGAGAGAGAGAATATGCTCCATTTGGCACTTACTCTCTATGACCTGGTTATGTGACTTTACGTGTCCTCTACCTTGCTAGTTTCATCTGTAAAGTGGGACTACACTAGGTCTTACATCTTTTAGTTAGCTTGAGGATGAGCTGGTCACCAAACTGATCCTTTTGAGGAGGGGAAAAGACTGATGTGTTTTTATTGTCGTCGTTTTTGTTTTTGATTTTTGTTTTGGGATAAGATCTCATTACATGGCTCAGGTTAACCTTGAACTCTTACTGCTCTTATCTCAACCTTCCAAGAACTGGGATTATAGGTGTGTGCCACCCAGGTCAAGATCTTATTTCTGCTGTCACAAGAGCAACAAAGCACTCTAACTAGTGCTATTCAGGCACCACGACAGCACCAATCGCTAGGTCTGGGCCTGGATGGGGTGCTCTGAGTTGAGACAGAAAGGTTGGGTTGGCTCAGCTCACCAGGCTGGCCACCCCCCTCCCCATGTCCTATGACCTTTCCGGCCCAGCCTGCGCATCTGTACCTGCTTACGGAGAGTGTAAGTTGATCGTGGCAGCCTTTAATACGGTTCTGGGCCTCCAGGTGTGTCATGAGCTCTGTGCTCTCGCCGTTGATGGCTTGGATCAGGTCACCTGGGCACAGGGAAGCCAGGGCTGCTTTGCTTCCAGCATGAACCTGTGGTTAGAAAAATCACATGGTTGGTACAGTTATATCATGTGGCCTTCTGCAATAGATTTCTTTCAACCTCAGAACCTGGCCAGTATGGCCTTGTGCCAGTGAGTCCCGTGGGTGGGCAAGCTAAAAGGCTGGATGAGGTCCCCTTGTAGCCTCCGATTTCAAAATCTGTCTCTAGCCCCTGCAGACCTGGTTAGATGTGAATACATGAGGGGCTTCTTCTAGCCTGGGACAAGTGGAATGCTACTTTATAGTCTGTGTAGGGACACTAAGACATGCATGGGACACTCAATCACACAAGGACATATATGCCCAGACATACATGGAGCATGGACATGTCATAAGTATTTTACACTGACAGTGCCCTATTCAAGCAGCCTACTTATTTGATCTCATCTCTCATGCCCACCAAGCAATGGCTTGCCACACCATGCTATGGTTACCCCATCTCAACACTTGTAGGTGCTCAAAGGCACTGGACAGCACTCACATCTTTACTTCCCCAAATGCTGATCCTTCCAGATGGTACACTCTTCTGATTCTGTAACCCTGTTTAATAACTAGCTTCCCCCCCCCCCGACTCCCTTAGGGCTCAGCGCAGAGCCCAGTTCCTCTCAGAGTAACTCCTTGTGCCCTCATTGCCCGAACCCCTGCATTGCCGATGCATCATTACAATTAGAAGTGGGAGGTGAGTATATCACCTCCTTAGGCAAGTTCAAAGCCATCCAGTTCCAGCTGCCATGGCGCCTGTACTGTGGGGTCCTAACCCCATCCATCTCTGCATTCCCTGAAGGACCCCTAGTGTCCTCTATTGACCCAATGGACTCAAACACTTCAGGTCATCCGATGCAGGTCATGTGATGAGGGAGGGGAAGACTCACTAGGGGACTGAGGTGGCAGGGCACTCTGGAAACGGCCTGGGAACAGACAAGGAAGGACTCTTCATTCTTGCCTAATATGAACAGCCAGCACCTCTCTATGGCTTGAGAGTTGCCAGTGACCTTGTTGCTATCAGTGGGACTGGGGGTGGGAGTGCCTGGCAACCCAGGCAGGCTCAGCTCAGCCAATTTCTAATAGAGTGGACAAAGCCAGGTGCTGGCAGTTCCTTGGCTAGAAGCGTGGTGTGGGCACTGTCAAAGCTGCCTTGCCCTGAAATAGGCTGCCTTAAGAAATATTCTTTCTCCCCCTCTCTCCTTCCATCCCCGTGTGTGTGTGTGTGTGTGTGTGTGTGTGTGTGTGTGTGTGTGTGTGTGTGTGTGTGTGCGTGTGCGCACACACTCAGCTGTGTGTATAAAAGCCAGAGATTGGCATCGGTATCTTTCTCTATTGCTTTCTGCCTTTATTGTTTGAAACAGGGACCTGGAGTTCACCATTTTTGGCTAGACTATCTGGCCAGTGAGCTTCTGGGATCTGCTTGTCACCACCTACCCCAGTGCTAAGGATACAGGCATGCTTTACCATATCCAGCTTTTACATGAGTCCTGGGGATCCCAACTCAGATCCTTCTGCAAGCATTTTACTCTATGAGCCATCTCCTCAGCCCTACCTGCCTACACCTGGCTTTTGATGTGGGGGCTGGAGATTAAACTCAGGTCTGTGTGTTTACATGGCAAGCACTTTACCAACTGACTTATCTCCCCATCTTGCTCAAGGAAATGTCTCTTTTAAAGTATGATGCCCTAGCCAACCAGTCCACCATAAATATTCACTCGCTGGCTTGGGCACCAGGTACTTGCACATGGTTGTCCTCTTGGGGCAGGTGCCCACTTGGCACCATCCAGTCCCATTCTCCTGTCAAGGCTCTGTCAGAGCTCCCTGCTCTTTATGGATACCTGATCCGTGCCAGAACTTTGCCATATCAGGCACAGGGTAACCTCTCAGTCACCAGGTGAGGCCAAAGCTGTTCTCATGCCTACCGACAAATGAACAAAGAGGGCGTTGGAGCAGGAGCACCTTGGCCCTGTCCCCCCACTGGACAGGAGTCTTCTTCCTCAGGGCTAGCTGGCTACAAGATGACTCAGCCAGCACAAGGGGTGTATTCAGGTCCCTGTAGGTGGAGGAAGTTCCTGGAAGCAGAGGTGGCTGGGATGTGGCCAGCTCCATTGAGCTTGGGGTGTTCTGGTCAAAGAGGACGTGAAGCCAGGAAACCGTGACTCCCAACTGCCCTCTGCATGCATTGTCTCCTGAATTCTCACGGCAAGCCCATTTCCTAGACTAGGCAACCGAGGTCCAGAGAAGGCAAAGAAATGTTTAATTAATAAACAGCTGAGCCAGAATTCTAACCTAGGCTAACTGGGTCGAAATCAAAGCTTACACTGTTAACCACTATGCTTCTCTGAAAAAAGAAAGAGTGTGGAGATAACATTCTGGGTGGAAGCCCAGCATTATAATGGCTTACCCAAGAGAGAGGGAGGGAGGCTTATGTGACTTCTAGCATCATTAGTGAAGGGAAAATGGATGTGACCAAGTCAGAGAAGATGCAAGGACCAGATATTGCAGGGTCTATAGGTCCTGGGGTGAGACACTGGCATTTCTCATGGGGTTGGGAACCATGGAACATTCTAAACAAGGAAACACTGGGTGTGATAGAATTTGGTCAGCCATCCAGCTGTGCAGTTCAAGATAACCAGACAGGAGAAAGATAGAAATCAGGGGCATGAGTCAGCCCCCTCACCTGCTACATTCCAGGCCCCGCTATGGTCACTGAAGCCTGTGGTGGGTGGGAGTCACAGAGGATCACATCGTCTCATCAAGCAGTCACAGCAAACTCCAGCAGTCCTGGATTCTCAGTCATATCCCCCTTCCCTGTGTATTTTAACTTGTCTGTGCTTCAGTGTCCCCATCTACAACCTGAGGCCAGGAGTCTAAGGATTGTAATGAGGACATAATCTCTACTAGAGTCTAGGCATACAGCAATGCTCATTTCAAGGGCCGGTTGCTGGGAAGGTGCTGGTACCAATACTTGATAGGATGGGGCCTGGAATCCTGTGATGCTTAGAAAAGGCCAGTAGTCATTACAGTTTAATTATAAGGAAGAAGCCCTGTACACTGATCTTGGGGATCCCAGAGGCTACCTGAGCAAAGACTGTAAGCTTCCATCCCAGCAAAACAATCAGTTCCCCTACTGTTTGCATGAGGCTGTGCCTTTCTACTGGACTCTGGGTGAGGAGGGCTCTGGAAACATAGGAGGGGATCTGGAAGGACACAGGAAGGGATCTGGAAGCCCTTTAGTGAGGACACTCCCACATATCATCAGTCCCTTTAGTGTTGCCCCTGAGGTACCTGCTAGGCAAGCTGTGGCCTGTGCCTTCCCAGCTCAGTAAATCTCCCAAATCCCACCCTAACCCAGGCTCAGTCATCCTGGCTCCTTAAGTCTGAGCTACTGCCACATGACTGGGGAATAACGGGGGATTCCTCTTTCCCAAACTGTCTGTCCACCAGGGGTCTGTACCTCCTCCCACCAAGCCCCCATCAGTGCCAAACAAGGCCAGGGCAGCCTCTGCTGACGTGTGGAGGCCTTTCCTGTTGGACA